TGTGGTCGAATCCTTAGCGCAAGGGCTGAGTCGTGCGTTGCGCCAAGCTGGATTAGCTACATCGCTGCATCACGCGCTGAGGTGAAGTGCTTGCGCCACTCATGGGCGCTTATTAGTGACGGATGTTTCTCCTGCTGTTGCTGGTCCAGGTCGTGGCACTTGCCTTGCCGGGCTGTCACCAGGGGTCTGCGCTATCCGTGTTCCACGCTGACTGGGTGGTTGGCCTGATGCCTTGCTGTAGGTGCCAGACGGGCAGAGCATGTACACGATGTTCGTGTGTGAAGGCTGGGAGAGTTTGTAGCGATTGCTACCCGAGTAGGTCTACGCCCAGCACTTGCTGTAATGTGTCTGCAGCTGCCAGAGTGCTACGCAGCCAACCACCGTCTATCGCCAATGCTGGTGTGGACCCAGCTCTCTCTTGTGGTGTGGATGTTGCAAGTCTACAGTCGCGGCCTCCGGTTATTCATTCTGTCTCTCGGGATTTGGCACCTCCTCTCACCGTGGCAAGTGCTTTTGATGCCTCTGTTAATAGCAGCCAGGAAGGTGATGGCGGCTCTGGTGAGAATGCCTCCGGCTCTGGAGCCTCCGGCTCTAGTGAGAATGGCGAGGAGGGTGATGAGTGCTCCCCACACCTTGTCACGGTCAATCGAAGTGCAACCCCTGATCGTCCTCACGGAATAGATGTGACATCACCACCTCCTGCCAATATCTCTGCGGTCGGGGCAGAGCATGAATCTCCTGGAGGTGATACATTGTTCTTGGCTGGTCTTGCTGACAGTCAACGCCCAGTGAATGCAACATCGCGCTTGGAGGATGCAAGTGTAAGGGACCATTTCGTGCAGTCGGTGAAGGCAGCATATGAGGTAGTGGTCACGTGGAGGCGCAATCTATTCATTGTTCCTCATGGCTCGGCCGGCATTCTATTTGTTGGGGAATTGTCTCGGCTCATTAATTGTTTTGCTGATGGCTCAGATATACGGTGTGTGGCCTGGAGAGCTGTATCAGTTGCCTGCCACCTCCTGCTACAGCAGCCACACGACTCGAGACTGCAATGCAATCAGGCGGATCATCTGCGCCGCCGTATGGGTCTATGGCAACGAGGAGCCATCAAGGAACTAGTCGAGGAGTGTGCCTGCATTCAGGCTCATCTTCCCAGGCGTGTCCCTACGGCACCGGACCGCCCAGAGGAACTGGATGACGTCAAGTTCAGCAGGCTGGTGTTCTCGCATGGCCAGCAATCGAGGACATCTGAGAGTTGTAATTTTTGTACTCCTCCGAGGTGTGATTTTTGGCGTGCTGGGCCAAGCACAAGGAAGCCATCTGCAAAAAAAACTGCAGAAAATGGTTGTTGTTTGATCCTTTGGTGTAATCTTTGTTTCTAGTCGAAGCTTGTTGCTGTTTGGAGCAGAAACGCTGAAATTGACTATTTTCTGCATGTACTCATTCATGTACTCATGTACTCAGGCATGCAGTCTCACTCGTATTTTAGCTCTTTTTCTGGAATGGATGCTGCTCTGCGCCCCTTGGTGAACATTTCCTGCGCTCGTGGAGCAGCTGAAAAGGACCACTGGTATGTCTGGTTCCTGGTTTGAAAGTGGAGAGTCGACTTTTGTGCCTTGAAAAAGGAGTAGAGAGCGATAAAGGTACGTCTGTGGCTGATTTTTGAGTGCTCCTCGTACATTTTTGATCGTGATAGAAATTCTCAGACCAAAGTCAGACCAAAGTCAGCGCGATGATGGTCGTACAGTTTTCTTGTGGATTTTTTAGTTGTTTCATCTCGTATCTATGTCAGCATCGTGATGGTGAAGTGGAGAGGGTGATTTTCTTCCTCTAGGCTTCGTTCGGCCGACTTTGCTTCGTCCTCGTTGAAAAGTGATCCTGAAAAAAAGGTCGATTCGCAAAATTATGTTGATTTTGAATGTACGTGATGACATGCGATTGCTGGCTATGGGGACGCATCCATTCAGCCATCAGGTATCTGGACCCGGCATCCTCTGGAAGGGTTTTGGGAATGGATGAAATTGGGAATCCGTCCACAGGTGCTACAGTTCGTGAGGTATTGCTGGAGAAGCACCCCATCGCGACTCAGCCTTCCGAAGATGTCCTCCTTCCTGGTGAGCCGGCCGAAGCCAACAACATCTTGTTCCAGAGAATCACACCGGAGCTGATTCGTAAATTAAGCCGGCGGATGCACGGATCGTCGGACCCGTCCGGCCTGGATTATGATGCATGGTGTAGAATGCTGACGTGTTTTAAGAAGGCTTCAGATACTCTCTGCTCTGCATTGGCTGCTGCCGCACAATGTCTGTGCACGGTGACCGTGGAGCCAGAATCAATGTTGGGGTTTACATCGGCTCGCCTGATTCCACTCGACAAACAACCAGGTGTGCGCCCAATCGCGGTCGGTGAGGTGCATAGGAGACTGATCTGCAGAGCTATTGCGAGGATCACGGAACACGACGTCCTCCGCGTAACTGCCCCCCACCAGACATGTGTTGGTGTTCCATCAGCCTGCGAAGCCTCAGTTCACGCAATGACGTCCATGTTCGCTGGACCAAATACGGAAGGAGTATTGTTGGTCGACGCATCAAATGCGTTCAACTCGCTTAATCGTCAGGCCGCACTCCATAACGTTCCCCGCATTTGCCCTGCTCTAGGCAAAGTGTTTGCCAACACCTACAGCTCGCCAATTCGCCTTTTCGTTGCTGGTGGCGGTGAGATATTGTCACAGGAAGGGACATGCCAAGGGGACCCATTGGCAATGGCAGTGTATGCTGTTGCCACAGCACCTCTGGTGAAGCACCTGGCAGCGGCTTGCCCGTCGGTCGTCCAGTCCTGGTATGCAGATGACGATGCGGCGGCGGATAGACTCCTGCAGCTCCGACAGTACTGGGATACTCTCGAACAGGCTGGCCGCGGATATGGTTACCACGCCAATGCAGCCAAGACCATCCTCGTTACGAAGCCAGAGCACCTCGATCGAGCGAGAGAGGTGTTTGACGGTACCGGGGTGACTATATCAGCCGAAGGAGCCCGATACTTGGGCGGTGTGCTGGGATCGGCCAGGTATACCGAAGAATGTATATCTGCAAAGTCGCGTTGCTGGGCACAAGAACTCAAGTCTCTGGCTGGACTGGCGAGGACCCAGCCACACGCGGCATACGTGGTGTTAACCAAGGGTCTGGCTGGCCGGTGGCAATACCATCTCCGTGCCACACAGCACAGCCCTGAGGTTCTTCAGGTACCTGGCCAGGTTATCGATTCAGAGCTTTTGCCAGCTCTCCTGGGCCATGAGTTCGACCCCAATAGCTCACAGCGGGAGCTTCTGTCTCTGCCAACGAGATGTGGTGGTCTTGCTGTGCCGATTCTGCCTTCCCTGGCGCCTGTGGAGTATGCGGCCTCAACAAAGATCACTGAGCCGTTCGTGCGCCTGATTGTACCGCCAGATACATTAACGCCTCCAGAAGAGGCACCTGCTGCTCCATACCAGTCCTCCACACAGCCTCTGACCGTTGCGGGCGCGGAACAGCCTCACAACGTTCGGGGCCATTCTCCCAGCCTTGATTTTATCGTCATCTCTACCCGATGATTTCCGCCTACATCCTGTACCACGGCCGGGGATCACTAGCCTGGATGACGCAGCCGGAGGCTCGGGCGCCGATGTTACCCTTGATGCCATCGGGGATGTTCGGCAGCGGGCACGTCAGTCACATCAGCAGCGGCAAAAGAAACAGGATGAAAGAGTGGCACAGTTGCGCCCCATGCTACCGCCGGCGCACCAGCTTTTGCTGGAAACAGCTGGTGAGAAGGGTGTTTCAAATTGGTTATCCTCCATGCCGTCTTTCATAACGCCCAGTTCAATCCTGAACAAATCGGATTTTCGTGATGCTGTTTGTATTCGATATGGTTTGTCATTGGAGGGAGTGTCCAGTTCCTGTATTTGTGGGCAAGACATGACAATAGATCATGCCATGAGTTGCCCGGCGGGTGGTTACCCAATTGCAAGACATAACGAGATCCGGGACATTCTGTCAGAAGCTATTCGGGAAATACTACCAGATGTGGAAAAGGAGCCTCTTCTCAAGCCGTTCGAAGGAGAAACACTACCACATCGAACTGCGAACCGGTCTTTGGAGGCGCGTCTGGATATCAGGGCGCGGGGCTTCTGGACCCGGCAGCAGGATGCCTTTTTTGATGTACGGGTAACACACCCGAAGGCAAGCCTGCTGTCGCGTACAGACGTCCTGCGTCAGCTGAAGACCCATGAACAGGCCAAAAAGAGAGAATATTGTGCCCGTGTAAATATTGTAGAGAGAGCATCATTTACACCGTTAGTTTTTTCAACTTCAGGCATGTGTGGGCCAGAGGGGTCTCGTTTTTTGAAAAATTTGGTATCGCTTGTTGTTGAGAAAAATCCTGAGTTACATTATTCTGTAGTCATGGGACAACTTCGATCTGTATTGTCGCTGTGTTTGCTCCGCTGGTGTATTACTTGCATACGTGGTTCGCGGGCATCATATAAGCGCCAACGCCACAGCTTTTTAACAAGCTGCCATACCCTTAGAGCACGTTGATGTGTACGGGTGTCTTAAGTTTTTTATGTTTGTTCTTTCATTCCATTATGAGCCGATCTTCTCCGATTGGTGGCCCCATGCCCCATGCTCATTGTGTTCAACTGCACTTTGCGTTCCTTTTTATATTGAGTTCCAGTGCACTTTGTGTTCATTTTCCTCTCTTTTTTCATTCTATTTGAATTTTGATGTATTGCGTTTTTGCTTGCCCGTACAAGAGGCTGTTCAAATGATGATGATGATGATGGAGCTAATAAAGTATTGTATCCATGGGAGATCAGCAGCAATGAGGAGTCTGAACCCTGCTGCTGATAATAGTGCAGGGTCCCGCAGATACTCGATACTGCCGTTGAACACAGTGCATGGGTAAATCAGCGAGCTGCACCAATGTATACAACAATCATAGCTATACACTGCAGCAGCACTTACCAAATTGTTACCAAATGTACTGCCTTCATCTTGATCTTCATTCATGTCAAGAGTTGCGTCGTGTGCTATCCAATAGCTCAGGACAGCGTCGCCAAGTTCAGTCTTTCTCACCGTGCAATGGTTGGCAGAGATCTGGCCACCGGCCACATCAACCAGGTGCACAATATATTCCTTGCTGATCTGCTTGGATATGTTCTCGAATGCCGGAATGCCAAGCTCTGCGTCATTCCAAATAGGCTCTTCCAGCCTCTTTGCCACAGATTCAGGCCATTGTGTGCTGACCAGGCTCCAGGCACGGCGGCCAGATTTGGCTCGTATCAACTTGCAAGGAATACCGAACTTGTCACACAACACCTGATGAGTCAACACATCAAAGAAAACCGAATAGGGGCATGATGGGTCACTCAGCATGTTTTCTTCATTTAAAAACACACACACACACACTGTTTTCACTCCAAAGCGTTAGTGTAACAGGTCACCAATAGTAGACACCCTAGCAAACAACGGAAACGCTATTTTTTACGGTACTCGTACCTTGATCACCTAAATAGCGTTGAAGACGCAGCGTAAAAACGCTATGGGGGCTGATTTATCAAACGGTACGTTTTTAGGCCAAATATCCCGTAGAGCGTACCCATTTCACCTTGTATCGTGTATATGGCACCATAAATGGTTGTACCGAATGAATTAACAGCTATACTCATGGCAACAGTGTGCAAAATTACCGTGCATCTTGCTAAAGGTCAAATCCAAATCTCGGTATTTTTCCCGTTACGGTAATACCATTACAACATAACGTTTTTTGCTAAGGGTGTCTATTACCATGAATAATCACTGCGACCCACAGTTACTTGGAAACTCGTGACCTGGCACGAGGGAAACATGGATGCAGTCAATGGGATTTCGGTATTTGACCACTTTGTGGTGGATCTGATCTACTCGCCTCCCACCGCTTAGGAACTGCATCTGCGCCTTGATCCTAAAGGGTGGTGGCGTTCCTGCAGATGCGGAAAACCTGGCTTCCAGCGGAGTTTCACGCGAACCGTGAAATTAAAAAAAAACATTAAATCACGGCTTATGACCATGGTATTAACGGACTGGACCAACCCATGCACATGTATGCAGAAGCATTTCAAATGAGACAACTTGGTCAGTCGGAGCAGAACGGCACCATCTCACCTTGTACAACAGTGCACGGTGAAGAAAAGATCCTTGAGGAAGTGCGGTAAGCGGGTAGGGCCCGCTCCAGGCAATGTCTAACGCTCTCTCTCGAGCGCCGGCCTCCATAAAAGCGTCGCATATGCCGTCTCCACCGAAGAAATGAAACACAATTCTGTAGATGCATGAAGCAATCCAACACACAGATTATGCAGTAATTATGAATTATGCCGCTTCCACCAAATGTAGAGGATTTTTTTCATTCTCTTGTACCAACTCATTCTCCGAACGACATTCCAATCAAATTTTGAGTTAGCACACGGCAATGGCACACACTGAAGCTGAAGTCGTAACCGGATCACGGGTGTTTGCAGTGCATGAACTCTGGCCAGTCGTCCCCGTACGCAAAATGCGTACACATTTGGATCTACCGTACATTTCCTCGTGTTCTGGGCGAAACTAACGGTACGACGCTGTCGAATTGGGCCTGAATTTGCCCTGAACCAGCCGCTATCGAAGTAAAATTAGGTGTTTTGAAGACCACACGGGAACACTGCGTCCACGTCTTCTTTCCTGCGTCGTTTGTTTGAAAATCGGAGTGCTTTTGAGCTCGTAGTTTCGTCTTTGTTGTGGAATGGCTGTGCGTACATTCTCCTTGGAATTACCAAAGTCACACCCCCTTTTCTTACATTACTAGGAGTTTTGCCGGCAGCCATGATAGTTTTTTTTATCCCTGCTTCCATACGTCCTTTCATTGAACAGCCAAACGAAACTTTGTGGCGCGCCCTTGTTTTTTTGTGGCGCGGGGGTCTCAAGTTTGTCACTTCGAGTTGTACACAACAACCACATCGACACCTCAAAGGACCAAAAATCAAGAGAGCAAAGTATTTCAACGTTGCGATTTTGCCTGGCCCACTGTGAAGATGGAGACTTCTACTCGGTAGAAGATACTCGTATCAACAAGCTGGGAGGGAGAGCGTGGCGAGTAAAACGTTGGGATGAAAGAGCCACATTCTCTCTCGGAAAAGGTCGTTCCTACACACTTGCTCTACCCAGAACTGCAGAAGGCTAGATTTTGCATGCCTGAATCTGCACGAAATTTTCGTACTCTCGGATTTGCCGCCATCTGACGAGTGGCCACTTCGAAACACCCGTGGGATAAAGCAATTTTTAGAGAAAAGGGAGAAAAACTCGCTATGCTATACATTGTAATGTGTATCTGTCAAAAGCTTCCAAAGGGAATCTAGCTTCTAACCTTGCCATTTGTGCCAATTGAGACTGGATTCTGTGGTTCCCAAGCTGGGTACTAGATCTGAAGCAGATCTGAGTGGCTATGATCAGCTCAATGAGGTGAAAGTAGCCCTTGTAGAACATTGGGTCGTTCGCTTTGCGCCTGACCACATCGCAAGCAAGGCCCTCATTCGTTAACCGCCTGCAGATAGAATGGAAAAAAGACACAAATCTAAGCATGCCTGGTTTCTATTCCTTTTTCTTTCTTTGTTAAAAGTCCCAGCAACTCTAATGGGAAATTCCCAGCAATTCCAATGGGAAATTCCCAGCAATTCCAAAGGGAAATTCCCAGCAATTCCAATGGGCTATGAGTATGCTAAATCAGCCTAGTAACACACAGTACTCTTACAGTTTGTCACTATACGGGTCAAGTTGTAAATTCAAAAGTAAGTATGTTTTTACACGTAAGTACAACACATAACCAGGAGTGGTCGTAGGGCATCAATCAAGAGAAAATGAAATCATGAATGAGAGACCTACATTCAGATTTCTCATGAGTGAAGGGAGCAAGAGCATGCGACGAATGACCAGATAATTATGATACCTGCAATGCACATTGACAGTAATGGACTCAACTTGATGCTGTTTAAACACGATAACAATCTAACGGAAAGTGATGGACGATGATGATAACACTACCTACTTCAAAAAGGTACAAGTACCTCTAACTAGTTTTCGCTTTAAAACTTCAAAAAGTTAGAAAGGAGCACTCGTGACAAGGCCATAAAAACAACTTGTGATAGCAGTGCCACACTGTGTGAGCAAGTAGTGCTCTGAAACACGGCCAAGCAAAACAATGACAGCAAGCTACAGGGGAAAACATGACAGTGCTCATTGCTGGCCAGAAAAGCACTGCACTACTACTTGAACAATTTAAAATGAATACCGTATTTTTCGGAGTATAGTGCGCACCTTTGTATAACGCGCACCCCCAATCTTCATTGGGGTGCGCACTTCAATCTTCATTGAAGTACATGCATTTCATATCCGGAGCATAGTGCGCACCTGCGATTTAGGGCCTAAAATAGCACATCTAAAGTGCGCACT